TCTACAGGGGGACGATCGAGAGCATCCTGTCATACAGCATCACAGTCTGGTTTGGAAGCAACCCTGCTTCAGACAGGAAGGCGGTGCAGAGAGTGGTGAGGATGGCCAAAAAGATCATTGGCAGTTCCCTCCCTCCCATCCAGGACATAGCACAGAAGCGCTGCTTGAGCAGGGTGTGTAGGATTATCTGGGACACTACACATCCTCTTCACGACCTGTTTTCCTTGTTCCCTTCTGGGAGGAGGGGGCTCCGTGGTATCCGTAGCAGAACATCCAGATTCAGCCATGGTTTCATTCCATACAGGATTAACCGTGTGAACTCTCAAGCTTCCTCCTTCCGTTATATATTCAAGATGGACAGTATTTAATATTTATTTATTATTTATATGTAGGGGTGTGGGTCTATACATATGTTGTATATAGTATGTTTAGGTGTGTGTCATGTATGTCTTTCACTTTGACAGCAGGCAACTAAATTTCATTTTTGATGTTTGCCGTTGTGCCCACAGTAAAAAAATGACAATAAAGGTTATCTTATCTTATCTTATCTTTAACATCTGCCATCTGCCTAGGAAAAACCCAAAGCATACGGCCATGGTGGGAGAGACTTGGCTTGGCAGCAGTGCCTATCAGAAGTGTCCAGAAGTAATTATTTATTTAATCAAACTTAAAAGTTGCTTCAATCACAATCGCGAATTCTAGGCAGCTCGCACTATATAAAAAAACCTCTTGTGACAAAAAGGACCATTAGCTGATCACATGTACGCAGTGTGATGCAGCACTAAAAAGCCAGTGCAAGCTGGAGCTGTGTTAACAGAAGGACTTGCATTCAGGTGATAGCAGGTAATGACCTAGGGTGAATTTTAAATAGGGATAATTTTTAATGATTTTAATAATGTCACAGCTACAAATATTCGGTTTTAATTGGCTTTTATAGGGGAAATGTTGTGTGTGTTGTTTGTATTGTGTTATTTTAATATGCTGTGAGCCGCCCTGAGTCCCGTGGGGAGAAGGGCGGCATATAAATTATGAAAAATAAATAAATAAAAATAAATATGATCTCTTCTGGTTAGGTCTCACTTTATTTATTTATACATCAAATTAGAGACACCCCCCATCTCACTCAGAGAGCTACTTTGGGCAGTGCTGAATTAAAAACATGAAAGCCATGTAAAAATATTATCAAAGGATTATATCTAGTACTAGTACAGATTAGAAAGGGCACAAAGAAACTCCAGAGGATCCTGGAGTTTCCTTGTGTCCTTTCTAAAGCTCTCTGGATGATGATGAGTCAGGAATACAACTCCAATGAGGAACATTTGTTTTGTGGCCATAGGAGCTGAATAAATAAAGTCAACAAAACACACAAATTTAAAGGGGCAGGGAAGGTCTGGCTTGCAAAAGAATATCTCAGGGGTTGCCACAAAGAAGAGGGAGTCAAGCTATTCTCCAAGGCGCCTGTGGGCAAGACAAGAAGCAACAGATGGAAACTAATCAAGGAGAGAAGCAACCTGGAACTGAGGAGAAACTTCCTGACAGTGAGAACAATTAATCAGTGGAACAACCTGCCTCCAGAAGTGGTGAATGCTCCAACACTGGAAGTTTTTAAGAAGAGACTAGACAGCCATTTGTCTGAAATGATATAGGGTTTCCTGCCTGAGAAGGGGGTTGGACTAGATGACCTCCAAGGTCCCTTCCAACTTTATATTATTATTATTATTATTATTATTATTATTATTATTATTATTATTATTATTATTATTATTATTATTATTATTATTATTATTATTATTATTATTATTATTATTATTATATGAGAACAACCTCGGAATATCTAAAAGACTGTCACATGCAAGACAGGGCAGAGCTATTTTCTACTGAAAAACAGAACAGGTATTTTGCATCAATTATATATTCTGCTTCCGGTGTCTAATTATTTCCAAGCTTATCAAGTTATAGCTTAATCCAATGCCAAGAGAATTTCTGCTCAATTCAAGGGTGAGCCATCTTTGACTAATAAGCAACTCAGCCTTCTTACAAAATAATCTATTTCTCCTGCTGTTGGAAGATGGAGGAGACAAACACCTTGTTAATGCCTTGCTACATGATGTAGGGACCAGGCCAATGCCAGAGGCATCAGAGACATATAATGGGAAGTCCCATTCTTTTTGACTCAAACACATCTAAACACAGTCCTTAATTAATGAGGGCAATCGGAATTTCCATTCCTAAGCAACACAGACGTCACATAATCCCATTGGAAATTCCAGTTGCCATTGTTAAGCAAATCACTGTGGGTTGTTAAGCAACAACCTCACATGGTCACCATTTGTGGCTTCCTGCTGGCTTCCCCCTTGATTTTGCCTGTACGAAGCTGGCAAAGAAAATTGCAAATGGCGACCACATGATACTGTGACATCATAATCATGAGCCAAGTACCAAGCGCCCTGACTGCAACCATATGACTGTGGGGATACTGCAATGGACCATTGTTAAGTACCACTTCTTCAGTACTGTCATATGTTTGATCACTGAATGAGTGATGCTAAGTGAGGACTACCTATATTGTTCAATTACACTTCAGAAACCACTGGCACACAGCCCCTCAATATCTGTTGTGCTAAGTTCAATCCCTGTCCTAAAATGTAACCCCCCAAAAAGGCAAACCTACCCATTAGTGTGATGAGTTTGTTCTTCAGCTGTGTATCTAACCTAGCAATCATCATCTCCACGGCGTTCCGGATTTCCCGCACACGTTCGTCTTTCGCACTGCGGACCGCTTCAACATTCCTTTCCTGAAAAAACACGGCATCAATTTACAACTGCCTGGACAGCTTTTGCTTCTTTACATGGGTACAACATTCTAGGTCAGTGATGGTGAACCTATGGCACGGGTGCCAGAGGTGGCACTCAGAGCCCTCTCTGTGGGCACGCGCACCGTCGCTCCAGTCCTAGGCCTTCAGCTGGGTTTTATAAAACCTTTTTGCTTTAGGCCTCCGCTGCCGTGTGCAAAAAAAAAAGGTTCAATCAGTCAATTTCAACTTCTCACGGGGAAAAAAAAGATCTTGCAAAGTTGAAATTGATTGATTGAACTTTTTAGTCCCACCCAGTCTGCCGTTACCACCGCAGTCATGCCCACCCAATTGGCCACGCCCACCCAATTGCCACACTCAGCCAATGGGCCACACCCACCCTGCACTCGACGATGCATAAGTGGGTTTTGGGTTGCAGTTTGGGCACTCGGTCTCTAAAAGGTTCGCCATCACTGTTCTAGGTTGTGCAAATCCTTCAACAGAAGTGAACTGAACATGTGGGAGAGCATACGTAGCACCACCTTCAAAGTCATTAAAACAGCCACATCTTTCTCTAACTTCAACAGTGGCTTTGCATCTACTTCTGGCTACTTCCACGTACCTGCATAACTGCTTTGCTTAAATGGAAGAAATACAAAGTGGGTTTTTTTTTCTTTCATTCAAACATGTCTGATCCTCAGAGACTGTCTGGGAAAGTCCCTGCAATTTTCTGGGCAAGATTTTTCAGAAGTGGTTTGCCATTGCCTCCTTTTTAGGGGCTGGGCAAAAGTGACTGACCCAAGGTCACCTAGCTAGCTTTGTGCCTAAGGCAGGACTAGAACTCACAATCTCCCAGTTTCTGCCTTAACCACAACATCAAACTGAAAGTGTAGGCTGGAACCATTTCTGAGCAGCTAAATGATATTCTGCCTCAGGTAACACTTTTATTTGGAAAGAGAGAAGCCCGCATAGAAGGGAAGAGAAATTAAAACGTATACCTTGCCATATAAAACATCTGCCTCTGTCCCTAGGATCTTTTACTCCCCCCTCTATGATATATCAGGAGAATAAATCACCTTGGATTATACCTCATGATTCTTATACATAACTCTAATTCCCCTTCTAAACCCAGAAAAACAGGTGTGACCGTTTTATTATTCACAGTCTCTCAACCACTGTCTGGCTGCTGCAACACATACTGTATATAATAAGTAACCTGGAGTTAGGAGGTGTTAAATTGATGACATTTTGCTCATTTTATTTTTTTAAAGGAGCAGCATTAAAAACATTCCCACCTTGAAAACATTAACTAGGAAGTCTCTTCTCTAGAATAAAGGCAGTCTTCAACTTAACAACCATTTAATGACTGTTCAAAGTTACAACAGCACTGAAAAAGCGACTTATAATCAGTTCTCACACTTATGACTGTTGCAGCACCCCTACAGTCATGTGATCAAACTTCAGTGCTTGGCAACCAGCATCTATTTATGATGGATGCGGCATCCTGGAGTCCTGGGGTTGCCAATAGCAATTATTATCTGTATTACTTTTTGCAAGGGCTGAAAATGCTAAGCTGGAGACACATATCTTTTCTTAATGAAAGCTGAGAATCTGTTTATTATTGTTCAACCTGGAAGGCGATTGTTTCCTTCACCTCATTCTCCTCTCCCAGCTGCCCAAGGTTAGAAAGCACCTTCCAGCTTCAAACAATAATCCCAGCAGCAAAGCTTTGGGAATATCAGAATTGCACATTAACAAAATTGCTCTTACCACTTCTTGTACCAAACTTATCAACTCCATGAGTCTTCGGCGAAGCTTTGCCACCTCCTCATTCACTTTTGTGACATGCTGCTCATATATTTCTGCTAAGGGCTTAAAAGTATGCCCGCCATGCTATTAGAAAGATACAAATGAGTATGGTAGCTTCATTATACCAGCTCAAAACACTGTACTGTTACCCAAGTGCAGGGGTCTTCCAACTTGGGCCTTTTATGACTTGTGGGCTTCAACTCCCAGAATTCTGAGGAATTCTGGGAGTTGAAGTCCACAAGTCATAAAAGGGCCAGGTTTGAAGACCCCTGCCCAAATGAATCCCAAAGATTATTATTGGAAGAAAGCTCTTTTCAACCTGCTGAATCTGATTTTTCTTCCAGTCACGCTTCTTACAAAAATCTATTCAGGTTCTAAGTGAATACATAACTGAAGTAAAACTGCCTAGCTTAGAATATATTTATTGTCACTCTGTAACTCACAACAAAATTAAGTGCTGTCCACAGTGCACACTACACATAAGTAAAAACCACAAATAAGTACATTATATATACACATCCTCCACATTCTATTCACCATTGCGCTGCCCCTAAAATTGCACTTCAACGTTGCACTAGACTATGGTATTTAATATGGTTGCAGCTCTGGGATAAAAACTATTTTTCAGCCTGTTTGTCTTTGTTTTTATTATCCTGTACCATCTACCAGATGGTAATAGTCCAAAAAAAGAATGTCGGGGATGAGATGAGTCTCTTGCTGCCTCATTAAAGAACTATTGTATATGTCTGAAGTTAATATTTCTAGAAAAAAGGCTAAATGAACTATTCAGAAACACCTTATAAATACTTAATTCAAGGTTTAAATAGTAAAAGTTACATGACGTGCTTTTCTTGTCAAAGCTGATCTTCATTAATTAATTTGAAATAGCTGTATCATACATTACATATCAGCACAGTAGAACAGAGTAAGAGTTATTTAAGAAATCCCTGCCAAAAACGAGGGAATTGGTGTCACTAGGTGTTAAATAGGGGGAGGAAGATTTTCTGGTTGTAACCCATCCTTAAATAAAATAGAACTTTATATCCTTCTTGCAGGCTAATACATTTTATTACATGCATATTATACTTGAAGAATTATTTTGTTCAATATGTGTGTGTCTGTTTGTGTATAATTTGATAATTTTAAATATTTGAATCCCAGGTATAGGCATTTTTAAAAATCAATGAGATTAATGAACTCCGGGATATAAAATAGTCTTTTTTTATTACTGAGCTTTCGTCAACTAGCTGTTGACATCATCAGAGTAAGGGCTGAAAATGAGGAGAACACACCTGTACAACTGTGTGACCGTTTTAACTGTCAGTACCTAGAACATATATATAGTACGCTCACCACCCACTCACTCGCATTTAGTTTCAACAATTCCGGAGGTCTGGGTCTAAAATTCAAAAATCCCTCCTCCCAGCTGTTTGGCGCGTAAGTCTTGCAGCTGAAGTGCGGCTACGCACAGCGCGACTTACACACCAAACAGCTGTACATGTGTGATCTCCTCATTTTCAGCCCTTACTCTGATGATGTCAACAGCTAGTTGACGAAAGCTCAGTAATAAAAAAGGCTATTTTATATCCCAGAGTTCATTAATCTCATTGATTTTTAAATGTATGTATGTCTGTATATGTATGTATAATATATATTATAAATATGTATGCATACACACACACACACACACACACACACTCACACACGACAGTTGCAGCATCCTGGGCTGATGTGATCGCTATCTGCCACCTTCCCAACTGGTTTCCAACAAGCAAAGTCAATGGGTGAAGCCAGATTTGTTTTAACAACTGAGTAATTCACTTAACCATAGTGATTCACTTAACAACCGTGGCAAAAAGGTCATAAAATTGGGTACAACTCACTTAACAACTGCCTTGCTTAGCTATGGAAATTCTGGTCCCAACTGTAATCGTAAATTACCTGTAATTTCATATTAAGTTACAAAAGACTTACCTCCTACAATGCTACCGCAGAAACTATATCTGTAATCACAACTTTTCAATCACACAAGGGCAATAATTCCGTTTCTATAGAATAAACATTGTGCAGATAACTCTTTGTTCTTCCTCTGTACATATAAAGCTTTACTCACCATTCCACCCCAAAGCGCACACTGGTGGCAGATACACTTCTTACACGTCCAGCAAAATACACTGAGCTTTTCATGATGATTTTCGCACCTTTAAAAAGAAAGGAAAAAAATTGCAGTTACAGACAGATAGGACAAGTTGTTTTAAGTTGTTTTCCTCAATCATTTTAACAATGTGGGAAGTGCCATTAAGGAGCTTATTTTTACTTGACATCAGCCACAATAAGCTACTGCTGAAATGCTGATTAAAAATGGGAAACAGTGTAAAGTCACACACTGTTGGGGAAATTACAAGTCAGCAATTCAGTTATTTTTTTTTCTCTTGTATTGCAAGTACACGGAGTGCTTCTGTACCAGAGACAAATTCTTTCTAATAAAGTCTCCTTCTCCCTCTTCTCCTTTTTCCAACTCTATTCCTTTTCCCCCTTCCCCTTACTTTTTCCCCATTGTCTTCATTTTCATTTATAGTTCATCTTCAGAAAATGTTTGATAAAAATGTATGTATTTTACATTAAGAAAAAAAATTAATACAAAAATTATAAAAAGAGAGAAGTGCCCATGGCCCCCACCTGCTTTTCACAAGCTCTTAATTCAATCTTTCCATTATCAAGATACATGTTAGTTATACACATAGAAACTGAGCAGTTCCAGCTACAATGTTTAGGTTACATCTAAAATGTACTGCAAATTAGCTTAGCTTCTCAACAGAGATTGAGTGACTATCTATTCTATGAAATCACCCCAAGGGCTTTTTATCCTCGGTGCCAAAAAAACGTCTTTTATTTTCTATCCTTTCATCAAATGCTTTCTTCTATTCTAGGCAAATGTCCAGGTTGGCTTAGGACAAGCACGAATGGGATGTTTGGAGAACCACCAACCTCCAGCTTGCTTGAACGGAAGAAGTCGGCTTCTCTGTTTATATTCCCAATGCCCTTCTTCGTTACAAGTTGGCTGACTGATAGGGGCTTCAGCACTTTGGAATGCAAATTGCACTCAAATGCTATCCTGTGGGAGCACATGTTCATAGTCCCAGGAGCACAGAGATTTGGTTACTTTTCCAACAAGTGCTCCTTAGAGGACAGCTACCAGGTTATCTATGTCATCCTTAATTATTATAAATCATATCCCACAGTAATAACTGTGAGAGGGATCTCAGAGTCCTAGTGGATAATTGCCTAAATAGGAGCCAGCCGTGTGCTGCAGCTGCCAAAAAAGCCAACACAGTTCTAGGCTGCATTAACAGAGGGATAGAATCAAGATCACGTGAAGTATTAATACCACTTTACAATGCCTTGGTAAGGCCACCCTTGGAATACTGCATCCAGTTTTGGTCAACACAATGTAAAAAAGATGTTGAGACTCTAGAAAGAGTACAGAGAAGAGCAACAAAGATGATTAGGGGACTGGAGGCTAAAGCATATAAGGAAAGGTTGCTGGAATTGGGTATGTCTAGTTTAACGAAGAGAAGGACGACGGGGGACATGATAGCAGTCTTCCAGTATCTCAGGGGCTGCCACAAAGAAGAGGGAGTCAAGCTATCCTTGAAAGCACCTGAAGGCAGGACAAGAAGCAACGGATGGAAACTAACCAAAGAGAGAAGCAACCTGGAACTAAGGAGAAACTTCCTGACAGTGAGAACAATTAACCAGTGGAACAACCTGCCTCCAGAAGCGGTGAATGCTCCAACACTGGAAGTTTTTAAGAAGAGACTGGACAGCCATTTGTCCGAAATAGTATAGGGTTACCTGCCTGAGCAGAGGGTTGGACTTGATGACCTCCAAGGTCCCTTCCAACTTTATTATTATAACCTCAGCTCAAGCCTCCTTTGGCAGAAGGGTGCTTGGTGTGTGATCATTTCCTTCCAAAATACATTCATTCAGTGGGCCTTTCCACCCTAAACTGTGGGTCTGTTTGGTGTGCACCAGTGAAGGAAATATCTACTACCATTGTAGGAATACGAAACTGTGGAAGTTCTTTTGCTATACAAGTAGTCCTTGACTTAAGACTGGTTACTTAGCAACCGTTCAAAGTTGCCACAAACCAACCCAGAAAATGTTACTTATCACCCAGAGTCGAAGTTCCAACATCTGCCCTCCCTCGCAGTTAGATGACTACATTTTGGATGTTTGGCAACTGGCCTGCGTTGCTTGGCAACCCTAACTCGACCATTTGCAGCAGCCCATAGTTACTTGATTACAAATTACAACATTTTTGCCAGAAACCAACGCCCCCAAAAATTTTCTTTACGACTGCCCCAAAAAGGTACTAAAATTAGGTCTGTTAACATACTAACCCACTTTATAACCATCATGATTTACAATCAAAATTGTGGGTTCAATTACAGTCCTAAGTCAAAGTCACGTGGTGGATGGAGCACATTGTTCATTGAAATAGGAAGGGGTGTCAGTGTTTTTACTTAGCTTAACTTTCTGCTGTTCTGTAGTATAGCCTTCTGGGTCTGTAAATTAAGACAAGCCTACCTTCCCCATGACTAAACTCTATGACACCCCTGAACTAGAGCAACCGGAAGGATGATTGGCACACCAATACTACCCTCAACCCATTACAGAAAACAAACTTCATAGTAAATATCTATAGAGATTCTCGGTCATCCAAGTCACGGTTGTCCCAAAGGTGGTTTTTCAAGAGACAACTGGACTTTTTTGTGTTTTTTTTAAGACGTTTCACTTCTCAGTTCCCCACCATCCAGTCAAAGCTGAAGCAGCTTCTTGGATGAGAAGCAAAACGTCTTCAAAGAAAAACAAGGTCCAGTTGCCTCATGAAAAAGCACCTTTGAGTTTACAGAAACTATCAATGTTCCATAGAAGAAAATAATAATAACAACAATAATAATAATAATAATGTTGAATGGGATCTTAGAGGTCATCTAGTCCAACCCCCTGCTCTGGCAGGAAACCCTATACCATTTCAGACAAATGGCCGTCCAGTCTCTTCTTACAAACTTCTAGCGTTGGAGCATTCACAGCTTCTGGAGGCAGGTTGTTCCACTGGTTAATTGTTCTCACTGTCAGGAAGTTTCTCCTTAGTTCCAGGTTGCTTCTCTCTCTTTGGTTAGTTTCCATCCGTTGCTTCTTGTCCTGCCTTCAGGGGCTTTGGAGAATAGCTTGACTCCCTCTTCTTTGAGGCAGCCCCTCAAATATTGGAAGACTGCTATAATGTCCCCCCCCCCGTCCTTCTCTTCATTAAACTAGACATACCCAATTCCAGCAACCGTTCCGTGTATGTTTTAGCCTCCCGTCCCCTAATCATCTTTGTTGCTCTTCTCTGTACTCTTTCTAGAGTCTCAGCATCTTTTTTACATCGCGGTGACCAAAACTGGATATAGTATTCCAAGTGTGGCCTTACCAAGGCATTGTAAAGTAGTATTAACACTTCATGTGATCTTGATTCTCTCCCTCTGTTAATGCAGCCTAGCACTGTGTTGGCTTTTTTGGCAGCTGCAGCACACGGCTGGCTCCTATTTAAGGGATTGTCCACTATGACTCCGAGATCCCTCTCACAGTTGCTACTATTGAGCAAGGTACCCCCTATACTATACCTGTGCATTTTGTTTTTCTTGCCTAAATGTAGAATTTTACTTTTTTCACCATTGAATTTCATTTTGTTAGATAGCACCCAGTGTTCCAGTTTGTTCAGATCCTCCTGTATCTTAAGTCTATCTTCTGGAGTGTTGGCTATTCCTGCCAGCTTGGTGTCGTCTGCAAATTTGATGAGTTCCACTTTAACATCACACATAACTGTAAATCCACTCCTTATATAGCTATTTACAGGAGAAAAATCCATCAGTTTTTAACATTTCTAAATTATGATCGAATTTAGGGGCAATACATTACAAACCCATCAGTCAACCGGCCATTTAAATCTACATACTTGTCTTTTTCGTTTTCTTCATGCTTGCTCAGATTACATAACTGGAGCGTGTCAAGTTGTTGGGTCACCTCCTCTGCCCAACGACAATTGACAAGTTCTCGCAACTGAAGTGGAGCTCTGCAAGTAAAAGTCCTGAGTGAAAATCCTGCTTTTTAAGAAAAAAATTAGAATAGAATAATATTCATTATTGCAGAACTGAAAACAGGACTTTATGCAAATGCATAAGACCTTTATCCAATCTCTCTGCCTCTGAAGCATTTAATAAAAACACTGAACGTATTAGAAGCTGGAGGCATTCATCAGTAAGCTACAATTCAGGAGCCCTAACTTGAAATGTTCCTTGTAATTTCTTCCACATTCAGAGGAAGCCAATTAATGAAGAACAGTAAATAATTTCATATTCATTCAAGGAGGGAAATCTTGCCTAACAGTTATTTTGAAACCAGGAATAAAAAATTATATGAGGGGGAATAAATGCTTGCATATAGCCAGAACTTTAAACATTTAAAGAATATACATATGCTTAGATGTGTTTAGGATAGATTAATAATTTTGCTTAAAAATGAGATATTTTTATATAATGGATTAAAGACAATTTAGAATATTAAGAATGCTTTTTTTTAGAATCTGAGGTTTATTTCTATGAAAATTATATGACATGATTTAAGGTATGATATTATTTTTCTAGCTTGAAGAGATTGATTAATTGATGGATTTGATAGGTACAGGGCAGATTAATTTTTTACTCCAAACAAGGGAGATTAATGGAAGAAGTAGTAAATAAGATCTTGATAAAATTAAGAAAGTAGAACATACGTGGAAGGGATAGTTGAATTGAAAATGTTTTTATTTAAAGTTAATTTGATTATATTGTAAACTAATGAAACTTAAAAACAGGTTCAGGTTGAATACACTTAAGCTAGAATTGGATATTTTAAATATACTATGCTATTTGAGGGAAAAAGAGAGGGAATATTTGATGTATTGATTGTATTATGTATATATGTTTTGTTTTGGGCTGTTTGATTACCCTAGCACCACGGTGTGTCCTGAATATGTTGTTCTAAGAAACTAAAAAACCAATAAAATGTGTTTAAAAAAAATTTAAAGAAGATATAGCATTCATAAGTTTGAGATTTACAGCATACACAGAGAACAATTCTTTGCATTGGTCATGATGCTCATGGGATGAGAATCCCAGAATCTGAAGTCAAAGGTACTATAGCAGAGCTTCCCAAACTGTGAGTATGCTTCTCTTGGGGAGATGCAGACGGATATCAGGTGAGGCATAGAGAACCTTTAAGTATAGTGTCTATCTTTAGTTTCATTGTATTGTTTTCACCATCCATTTGTGTTCATGTTGGTGTTTGGAATTTTTAGATAAGTGTACATTAAGATTACAGTAAAAGGAGGTGTGATGACAAAAAGTTTAGGAACCCCTGTACTAGAGGGAACCAGGTTATCTATACTTCAATCTAGGGAGAATTGTTTTAAGTGACATCAGAGGAGCTGACTCTTTCCCAGAACTTTTGAAAACTGTTCTTTTATCCTCACTGAGTGACAACTGTGGGGAATTTTAAAATTATATCTTGTTTAAACTTTTATTAATTACTGAAGGTCAAGAGAGGTAACATTCCATCATGTGCCAAATTTAAACTATAACCTGTCTGCTCCTTCCAAACATGTATTGCGAGTATCAGCAAGAAAAAAAATATAGAATTTGCTTTGGTTACCACAACAGTCCAAAGAGCTTCAAGTGAAAGCTTACCGACAATGTGGGCACTGAGCTCTTTGTTCCGTCAGCCAACGCTGTCAAACAAAACAGGCATGTTATAAAACATCAGAAAGTTCCAGAAACATTAGAAAAACATAAATCCTATAATATGTTTGGACATATTTCTTCAGCATAATTATTCTTGAATGGAATTCACACAGCACATAAATGCTGCCATCTCAAAGCATGAAGATCCCTATTTACTGTATCTGTATACTGTTGCACTCAGAAAATGACTCCCAATACCAAATTATACCTTGTTGAACAGCCTGGATCATACAACATTCTAAGACAACTGAATTCCCAGAACAGCTGAATTCCCAGAACATGCTAAAGTATAAGCTAGCCAATCCCAGTTTAATCTAAAATGCTGTGCAAACCCAGTCTAGATGTTAGTCCAGATTTATTTATTTGTATCCCTCCTTTATTATTTTTAAAAATAACTCAAGGCAGCAAATATATCTAATACACCTTCCTCCTCCTATTTTCCCCACAACAACCCTGTGAGGTAGGTTAGTCTGAGAAAGAGGGACTGACCCAAGGTCATCCAGCCAGCTTTCATGGCTAAGGTGGGATATGAACTCGTGATTTGTTAGTCACACATGGAGCTAACAATTAATCAAGAAAATTGGTCATGGCACTTTTTTGTATGTTATCAATGTATTAATCCTAAATATTGGTCCAACCCTATTTAATTATTTTGTTCAGAAAATTAAATGTGTAAAAGCTCTAAGAGAATCACTAGTCTCAAAACAATTGTGACTGTAATAAATTTCTGGGTTCTTAAGTTTAACAGCAACATACAATCTAAGGATAATCTCAGGAATAAGTTCAACTGGTTTTTTTTCCATTTAAAATGTTAGAATTACTATATACACCTGAAAAGAAAGTTACTTTTTTTTTCAAAATTTAGTTTTGGAATTTACTTTTTATATTGAAAGAGAAGATGAAAACAAGTCAGATTTATTTTTACTTTTGGAAGAATATCAGTTTAAATTCAGAACTGCTTTCCTTTTAAGGAAATAGTATACATTATTCCAATATTTTCTCTGGGCATGGCTACTAGCAAATGAAAAGCAGGCAACCAGGCACCAGAACAAAAAGTTAAAACTGTTTTTCTTAGTGTGCCAATAAATTAGTATCTCTGTACACTTACATCTGCTTTGAAATATTTTCAAAAACATTTACAAATCCAAAATCTAGTTATATTTGTGAATATTAGTTACCCGAATACAACTGAAACAACATAGCTTGGAGCAATGTGGACACAGGCGTGCATCACGCAATTTTTCCATACAAATGAAACATCTAAATACTTCAGCAATACTCTGCAAGAAAGAAACACAATCAAGACAAATATGTGTCAGCTTCATCTGTAAATTGTACCCACATTATCTTATTCATATCAACTCACATTTTATTTAAACCTACGCTCAACTATATTGCTCTGGGATACTATACAACAGTGTTTGGAGAGGAACCAACATGAAATTATTTCTAAATGTCTTTGTTTAAATCAAAGGGGGAAAAAAGGGTTGCTACATCTACATATACATTTCAGTATCTTGCTAACACTGTAACAAAAGAGCAAAAAATAAGTATGCATATAATTGTTTAGAAGACACGCTAGAATATGGGTGTCCAACTTGCCTGGCCGCAATGAGTGGAATTGTGTTGGGTCGCCTATAAAATATATAATATAATGAATGTATATAAATCACATAATAATGTTAAAAGGCTTACAATCTTATGGGCTTGCATTACAAGTGGTCCAGGGCTGCATGTGGACCATGGGCCACAGGTTGGACACACCTGCTCTATAATCTTGCAGAATACAAACCTCACTACTACAAGCAGGAAGAGGATATGTACACAACCCCCTGGTATGTTTCTAAGATGGGTTGAAATGCATATGATTCATAAAATGCACATTCCAACAGAATGTATTTTTCATACACAGTACCTTTTTGCTTCAGGTAAGATTCAGAAAGATATGGAAACAAATCAGATTTTATTCTTGCTTTCTCTTAGTTCTGTGAAATATGGTGTAATCCAAAGTTTTCAGTTTTATATGTTTACACATTAAATTCATATCTTACTTTGCCTTTAGGAGTTCAAGGTAGTAGAAGTAGTCCTTGTTTAAAAACTATTCATTCAATGACTATTCAAAGTTATGACAACACTGAACAACTGGTACTGTTATGGTCATTATACAGTCACCTAATCAAAATTTGGGTGCTTAGCAACCAGGCCGCATTTACAACCACAGTATGCAAGGGTCTCACGAATGGCCAATAGCTGTCTCAGCCAGGTTGTTGTTAAACAAATAGTTGTTAAACAAATCAATGGAGTTGTTAAGTAAATTGTGTTGCAATTAAGCAAACCTGGCTTTCCCCATTGACTTTGTTTGTCTGAAGACGGCTGGAAAGGTCACAAATGATGATCACATGACCTTAGGATAGTACCACCATCATAAATACATGAAAGTTGCCAGGTGCCCAAATTTTGATCACATGACTTTGTTTTGTTAGAAGATCACAAAAGGGAATCGCATGACTCTGGGACACTGCAACTGTCATAAATATGAACCAGTTGACAGGTGTCTCAATTTTGATCATGTAACCATGGGTATGCTTATGACCATGGGACTTAAGTGTGAGAACTGATCAAAAGTTACTTTTTTATTGCCGCTGTAACTTCAAAGTCACTAAATGAATGATTGTAAGTTGATGACCACCTGTATTTCACATTTACCTACCTCCAATATGACCTTTTTCCACCTTCTTTCTAGTACTCGTGCTCCCCCCCCCCCCATTCCATTAGGAGAAAGAGAAGCTCAGAAGATTTTGGTGGTAGAAGCAGGAGAGTCTCTCCTTGGTGATGGCCCCAGCTTCCAAGCCTCTATCCTGAGGTGCCAGCTTCCTTTACTGGTTTTTCAGGACCAAGGAGGGAGCTACTGGTTTTCTCTTGCTCAGTCTTCCTGGGACTTATTTTCAGGGCCAAATTTCCAATCCTTCATTTTCCTGGTTTGGATCTTTTTTTTTTCTTTTTTAAATTCTGTACAGGTAGTCCTCGATTTGCGACATTCATTTAGCGACCATTCAAAGTTACAACAGCACTGGAAAAAGTCACTTTTGACCAGTTTCCACACTTACGACTTGCAGCCTCTTCATGATCACGTGACCAAAATTTATGACAGTTGCGGCATCCCAGAGTCATGCCATCCCCTTTTGCGACCTTCTTACAAAAAGTCAATGGGGAAGCCCGATTCACTTAACAACCGTGTGATTAACTTAACACCTGCGGTGATTCACTTAACAACCGTGGCAAGAAAGGCGGCAAAATGGGGCCAAACTCACTGATACCAACCACTCTGCTTAGCAAATGGAAATTCTAGGCTCAATTGTGGTCATAAGTCAAGGATTACTACACTAGATTACCACCCACAATAAGAAAGGACAAATCACGTTAACCTATGTCAAATAAATACAGGTAGTCCTCGACTTACGACTACAATTCAGCCCAACTTTTTTTGTTGTTGAGTGAGACATTTGTTAAGTGAGTTTTGCCACATTTTACAACTTTTCTTGCTATAGTTGTTAAGTGAATTACTGCAGTTGATAAGTTAGTAACCTGGTTGGGAAGTGAATCTGGCTTCCTCACTGACTTTGCCAGTCAGAAGGTCGCAAAAGGGGATCGCATGTCCTTGGGACACAACAACAGTCTTAAATGTGAACCAGTCACCAAGCAACTGAATTTTAATCCCATGGTCATGGGCATGCTTCAGAGGTCGTAACTGTGAAAAAGGGTCCAGAGTCACTTTTTTCAGTGCCGTTGTAACTTTGAACGGTCCCTAAATGAATTGTTGTAAGTTGAGGACTACTGGTAACCACACATGCACGACCTCCCCCTCCCTATTTCAGAAGCCCTCCCCCTCCCAAATTCTCATTTGGAGTCCTTTCCATCTGTGGGGTCAGAGGAGGTGGGGCAAAAAAGGTCCTCCCCGGAGTCTCCATTTGGGGGCAGACGGGGAGGGCAGCCACCGTCCCACCCAGGATGGGACCCCCCCTCACATATCCATCCCCCACCTCTGAGGGGCGGTCTGAGGGGAGAAGAATCTCCCCTTACCGCCATCATCATCATCAATAATTATCATTATTATTATTTTATATTATTATTATTGCAATTATGAAGGCTTATGAAAGTTGTTTAGCTCAACACTATTGTTGTTTATTATTATCATTATCATCGCAATTATGAAGGCTTATGAAGGCTGTTTACCTCAACACTATTATCGTTATCATTATCGCAATTATGAAGGCTTATGAAGGCTGTTTATCTCCACACTAGTATTGTTATATTATTATTATTATTATTATTATTATTATTATTATTATTATTATTATCGCAATTATGGCTTATGAAGGCTGTTTACCTCAATACTATTGTTGTTGATTATTATTATCATTATTATTATCACAATTATGAAGGCTTATGAAGGCTGTTTACCTCAACATTATTGTTATATTATTATTGTTATTGTTATTATTATTATTATTATTATCGCAATTATGAAGGTTTTTGAAGGCTGTTTACCTCAACACTATTATTATTATCGTTATCATCATTATCGCAATTATGAAGGCTTATGAAGGTTGTTTATCTCAACACTATTATTGTTATATTATTATTATTATTATCATCGCAATTATGAAGGCTTTTGAAGGCAATTTACCTCAATACTATTGTTGATTATTATTATCATTATTATTATCACAATTATGAAGGCTTATGAAGGCTGTTTACCTCAACATTATTGTTATATTATTATTATTATTATTATTATTATTATTATTATTATTATTATTATTATTATTATCGCAATTATGAAGGCTTATGAAGGCTGTTTACCTCAACACTATTATTGTTATTATTATTTTATTATTATTATCATTATCATCATCATCGCAATTATGAAGGCTTAGGAAGGTTATTTACCTCAACACTTTGCTCGTCCATGACTGGAAACCGCCTCCCTCGAAGTGGGGGTACCTTCGGGGGTCGCTCCCTCTCCTCAGTTTCCTCTCCTGAGGAGAAACGACCAGCGTGTGAAGGCACCGGGTCAGAAAAAAAGAGAGGGGTCGAGCTTTTTATCCCTCCCCCCCTCCCCGTTTTCAAAGCCTTCTCATCCCGCAGACTCCCCCGCCCCAGTCCCGGCCATTTCTCCCCCTCCCCGAGAGGAGAAACGGGGAAACCGAGTCATAAACGGTCCCGCCGGCTCGCGCCTTGCAGCTGTGGGGACGGGGGAGGGGAAGAGGGGGGAAAGAAGCCCCTCTGCCGCCTTACTGCGCCTGCGCGGTCATGCTCGCCAACCGAGAACCGAAGGTGCCGCATTAGCCGGCCGCGCGCTATAGCGGCCCAGTGCGCCTGCGCTGAACCGAGCGCTCGTTCGGATTTGCCGGAGCGCTTCGTTTCCCTCCGGATTTGTCGGAGGAGGAGAAGGGAGCAGTGTTGCGCATGCGTTAAATGTCAGGGTAGCCTCGAGAACAGGTGAGCGGGAACAGGTTGACAACGCGTTCGGAAGGTTTGCGTGCCGCATAGGTGATGAAGGAGAGCTGGGTTACTCTACAGCAGCGCTTTCCGAACTGGACAATGATCAATCAGGATAGAGCTGGAAGGGAGCTTAGAGGTCTTCTAGTCCAACCCCCTGCTCGAGCAGGAGACCCTATACCAGGGGTAGTTCTTTTATGACTCGTGGACTTCAACTCCCAGAAATCCTGAGCCAGCATAGCTGGCTCAGGAATTCTGGGAGTTGAAGTCCACGAGTCATAAAAGAGCCAAGGTTGCCTACCCCTGCCCTAGACCATTTCAATCAATCAGAATACAGCTGGAAGGGACCTTAGAGGTCTTCTAGTCCAACCCCCTGCTCGAGCAGGAGACCCTATACCATTTCAATCAATCAGAATACAGCTGGAAGGGACCTCGGGTATCTTCTAGTAGTCCAACCTCCTCAAGCAGGAGACCCTATACCAGGGGTAGGCAACCTTGGCTCTTTTATGACTCGTGGACTTCAACTCCCAGAATTCCTGAGCCAGCCATGCTGAGGGGAAAGGGAGAGGTTTCCAAGCTGAGCCACGCTGGCTCAGGAATTCTGGGAGTTGAAGTCCACGAGTCATAAAAGAGCCAAGGTTGCCTACCCCTGGGCTATACCATTTCAGACAAGTGGTGGTCCAATCTCAATCAATCAATCAGAATAGAGATGGAAGGGACTTGGAGGTCTTCGAGTCCAACCCCCTGCTCAAACCATTTCAATCAATCAGAATAAAGCTGGAAGAGACCTTAGAGGGCTTCTAGTCCAACCCCCTGCTCAAGC